TAGAAGATAACTATCCTTTTTTGGTATTCTCTATTCATTTTCTTCCTCAATAAAGTATTCCTTTTACCAAAAGATTAAAGGGTTTTAACAAATGTCTTGCATATAAGGGCAAGCATATAGCCATATATCATAATGACAGCTTGTCAGATTACTATAAGAAACTAAGAGCTCTCTAACCTCAACTTTCCAAACAAGAAACCAAACGGCACCATTAGTTTCCAAATTTTAGGGCTTATAACATTTGTGTTCAAGTAGGCATTCATGGGCGGACAAAGCAAAATTCAAACTTCACCACAAAAGCAAAACCCCAGTCTTCCCAAAGACAACAAGAATCATCCAAGCAACAAACAAAACTTATGGTATAGACCATAAAAAGAAAACCCCGAACATGTATTCTCTTACCCACGAGAGGGGAAAAAAAAAAAAAAGACAACCTTAAAATCTCAACAATCAAATCTAACCAAATAAAATCTAAACCCAACACCAACTAGAGCTTCAATAACCAATTGAAACGTTATTAACTAAGTTTCAAGAACCTATTTTAACAATGCTAAGTGGGATTTTCTATAAAATAATTAAAGGGTTTTCTGGGTCCTTTTCCAAGGTACTCAAGAAAATGTCCTAACTTCTTTAAAACACCTACAATTCAATTCACAATTTCCTACTTTCTTCTCCTTGATTTCTTTCACACAAAGTTGAAGAAAGAACCACCAAAACAACAAGTAAATATCATTCAAGAATTACTGTAAATTCCATACAAACACCAACATTCAGATATCTGCAACATAAAAAATGGAAAAACAAACTAACAGCAAAATTCAAAACCCAGAAAGCAAAAAGGACAAGAAAGTTATACCTATTGTCAAAACCTTGCAAGAATAAGGAAACGGCTGAGTAATGAGACCTCTTTAAGAACCCACTACGCAAAACCCCTCCCTCCTTCCCTCTCTAAAACTAAAAAGTCTCTCTCTGACCCCTTTTTATATTTTCTATGGGCAGGCTGCTTGTATGTGTGCAACCAGTAAAAAAGATGTTCCTTTTTTCACTTGCCATTTGATTTATTTGCTTATTATTATTATTATTATTATTTCCAATCTTATTATGACTCTTTTTTTTTTTCTTGAGCCTATCTTGAAACTCAAGAAATAGAGACAATCGGCACATAAATGCATGTCTCCATGTCTAAAATAATAAATAAATAAAATCATAATAATAAATTTATTTTTATGTCTTAATATTTATTTATTTATTTGACAAATCATGTTTTTTTTCTTCTTCTGTGTTTTCTCTATTAAGTGATACTAACTAAACACTCTAAAAAAAATAATGAAGTTGTTTATTAATTAGATATTAATGATCTTCCGTATAAAATTATTATATTTATGAAAAAAATTATGATTTTTCTTGAATTAATAACAGAGCAAATCTACCTATTATCAAAATCAATACCTCCAATGTTTTTGACCTTTATTGTAAGGGGAGTATATAATAAAAATGTGCCCATGATAATATATTCAAGCAAAAAAATAAACAATGAAAAAAAAAGTTGTTTGTTGCTAATCTAGAATGATGCTGCTTCTTAGAGTAGCAGTATCTGAACTTTTAACTCTAGATGTGTCCTCTCTTCTTGTTTTATGAGTATTGCTGGACTAAGCACTTGCTCTGCTTTGCAGCCCTTTCCAAAACTAAATCTAAGAGCCAATGGAGCAAGTTTTTAGATTATAGATTATGAGTTAATAATCTTTAGATTATAGATTTGATCTTGCCGTTGAATTATCAGCAAAGCCTCAACATTGTTAGGAGCAAATCTTTCATGATTTTCATGCTGTTACTCCTGAAAAGGTTGAAGTGCTTCAATTGACTTGGCTATAACCAAATTTCCATTCAAAGAATGCCAGCATTGTTTGGAGCAAATCTTTCAAGATTTTTATGCCGAAACCTCTTATTTTGGTCCTTAGGCCTGGGGCTCCGGACAGCGTGCGTCTGGAATCTCTCAAGGAAGGATAAAACCACTGCAATGTGCCACTTGATTTCAGATTTTACATGGATTACATTCAATTAGATTGAGGACATAAAAACATGAACATGAAACCATATATTATCTGTTAATGTGGAAAGAAAAGGAAAAGAAGGACGCTTCATTTGCTCCAATCAGTGACCAAAGGAAATGTAACACAAATTCCAACCGCTGGTTCACCATATACAGGCTCTATCGAAAAGAATTCGCACTTCAAGTCCAGATTTTATCTGGGCTTTAAAAGCTAGAATGAAGAGTTTGTACAGTAGTCAGTAACATACGAGCATGATGAATCGGCACATTCCTCTGCCTGAATCGTTCAGATGACAAAAGGTACTTAATTACCATTTACCTCCCAAGTCTTTAGTCAGGACAACAGCACGCAAAAAATTATGGAATATTGTTTCGATGGTCTAATCGTGTGTTGTCTGCTGGACCAGTGGCCTGTGAAGCGTTGGAGCTGGAGAACAAAAAGCTGTTAGCATTGAGTGTCAAGTGAAGACTGATTCAAATAACATAATTTATGTTACTGCCTACACTTTTTAGTGCATAGAAAATATAATACTCGTGACTGATCAGAAAAGCAGACATGGTAGCGGCTGTATCCAAACCCTACAACAAATTGGGATTCATGAATGTGCATTGCAGAAGGCTAAAACTGACCTCAATATCCTAGCGAGGCATGTGTGTGCATGCGTGCGTCCCTGGGTAAAATCGGTGAAAGTAATATCATTTCTGATACTTTCATGAAGATCTTCGGGGAATCATCAACATCCAAACATAGAAGAGATCATGACTGAAATAAGCACCATAGCATCATCACATAATAATTGCTCAGAGGTCCATGCGCGTGCAAAGAGCAAGTCATTTCACACAGGATGTGTAACAACTAACGTGTATCATAAAGTCTGGACGAGCCAAACAAGATTTTCACTGATTATAACTTTTAATCCTATCGTTGGAAGAAAAGCTCTTCTAGTGCCGTCATTCCTCAAGTAAATTTAAACAAAATTTAAACGAGATTCTGTTGCACAGTTCCAAAAAAAAAGTCAAAAAAAAAATCAACCAAGTAGTCGAAGAACCTTGCATTCATACCAGATAAGCAGATAATACATGACAGTAACCTAAACTTCTACCATGACAAGTCCATAAACAAAGTATAACCTTTAATTTTTTTTTCATAACAATCTGAAAAGGCAGAGGTTTGATACATAAATCTAAACCATAAAACAACAAAGAGATTCTAAGCATTCTATTCCATCACCTGAACTTCTCAGAAAGAAATTCCAAAAGGGTAATATCTTTCAATTATCCTGGACTAATGAAAGATGGAACATAGAAGTGGCTGAGAGCTGCTTGAACGCAATGGAAAAATTAATCCACAGTCTCCAAATTTATCATTTGCGTGTCCATCATTTACTTCTTTTATACCTGAGTTCAGCAGCAACTGATCATACTAGTTATACATTAGAAGAAAGTGAATTAGCAATCATTAAGGAGTTGCCATTAAATGAGAGAGCAAACAAGTCAAGAATCCGCAAAGCTTCAGCGCAAACACAATGTGGAGGTTAGATAAACCACAGAAGTCCGAATCGTGGTTTGAGAAAAGCTACAATTTGTAGTTTTTCTTAAACTTTCTTCTGTTTTTTTCAAACCGTAACCATAAAAGCTACAACAATACCAAACACACACTTTTAAGTGTTTTGAATCACCGGCGTAAGAAAGAGTAACTGATACAATATGGTCACAAAGGTCTATCATTGAAAAGAAAGGACTCGTCAAACTTCATGCTTGTCAATATCATAGCATTTAAGAAAGGAAAATCAAAATAAACCAGCTTGAAGGAAACCACTGGGGCCTCGTTCCAGAATACAGGAAGTTCTACGGAGTTGCATTTAGTTGCAAAAAATCTGGGACTCTCCAAGCAATAACTAAACAGTTCGGGTTGGAGGCTCTCCAACTAAATGCAGGTTAATTAACATAAACACACGAGTAGAATCACCCAAGAGAGGAGATCGTTATTTGGTTTACCTCCGCCACTTTCCACGTACAGTTACGCTGCCACCTTCTGCTGCATCATCTATAGACTGTATACACTGAAGCCAATTACCTACAGAGTCAAGTTTAGAAGGCTTGTTTGAATTCAATTCCTGCACAAGAGGATGTTTCAGTTCTCTCAAAACACCAACAAATCTACTGCTAAACTGACAAAGTATGATGGATCCAACACTACAGGTCCACCAACAGCATCGACATCTCTATATGAAAATCAAAATAACAGAACAAATGACATGGAGCAGATAATATTCTGAATTCTTAAGAAAGTAAAGCCCTGCATGAGAAGAAGAAAAGGACCAAATGACAGAGAGGAGATAACAGGGAACAGAAAACTAAAAATATTTGTCTGACACGACCTAATGCACTGTGCCTTAGTAAAGACTGATGAATCAAAGAAACACAGAGCCTTTTTCATGCGGTGATTTATTTCCTTGGCTATACATGCAACTAAACCTCCAATTTCTGTTCCACAAACTATCAATTACTACTTTCTGTTCTTCCACCACGTTAAACATGGATTCTCTGCAAAAGGGAATCCATAGTCTTTCTCTAAATAAATGTCATTTTGCTATAATGAAGCCAAATAATTCAGTTTCCTCTGCATTTGGGCCTAAAAACTGTAAAGGCTAAATGATTGCCTCCAAAATGTTTTTGCTCAAGGCCATTTAGTATCGTTATCAATCATGAAGACTCCAGATGAGTGGACTCTCTCAGCTTCAAAACCTGCAACATGTTCGAAGAAAACAGACTAAAGCGCTCAGCCTACAAATCCACCTACAAAATTGTCACCATGTTTGGCTCCACAAATTCTAAGTCACCATTACATATGCTACTAAGTACTGAGTGAAAAGGGGCAATAAAGATCCATCTGTATATCCAGAGATGCATCAAGCCATTAATTCTGATGACATCTGGAAAATGAAGATTCGTTTCAACACGAAAGTCTATAGCTAAAGCACAATACAATATAATATTTTTATAAAACATAAAACAGAAATTCTAGACCAATGTCATTGCTCCCTCTTCCTAGCCTTTTAAATCTTGCAATTTTGCCAGCAAGGCTCAAGAAAACTTGTTTAAGAACATGATAAAAACAGCAATGGACAAAATAACACAGCATGTAGCGTATAGAAGGCTGGTGACTGAAAGGCAGCTTCTCCAGTTCTCTGTGATTACAGGGTTTCCTTGCAGCTTCCTTCTTCTGTAGACGAGATTGCATGCAGAACTTTCAGACATAGTACTGACAGTTAGTAGCTGAGAAAGCCTTTGTAAACTTGAAGGACATGGGGGATCCTCTCTGTTGTGTACTGGAGGACGAACATAGAGGCAGTTCCATGCTCATGTTGAGAAAATCGGCGTTGCTTCTTACGTGCAGCTGAAGGATCATCATAGCTGGTTAGAGAAGGATATTCATCTCCACTTCTCTTTGGCATTGCAGGGGCATGCCCTGATAAAAAGGTAACAGAGTTTAGCTTCCTTCTCCCATATCGAAGTTAAGGGCAGAACTTCCAGACGCTGAACTGCAGTTGTGCTTCTTCCAAAACATAAGGGATGTGAATATTCAGCTCCATTGCATACTATAGGAGGCATCATAGGTGCTCTAACAGCATCACTTTCATTCTCGTCTTCAGAAAGTATACGGTTCTCCTTAACTGAAACTGAAGGATCATCAGAATTGATGACATAAGGAGAATCCTCTCCGCATTTGTTTGTGATTGCTGATAAAAAGTCAATGGAGTTTCCTTGTAACTTCCTTCTACTATATACAAAATGCTAGTGGTTGTTAGATGAGGACTTCTTGGAAAACTTAACATGCATGCATAATTGTTACCCTCTTTTTTCCAAGTGAATGAAGCAGCTTCTTCTTTACAGAAATTTTGGAAGTTTTCATAACATTTTGGGTACATGACGTGTAACATAAACTAGATTGTGATTTCCAAATCTAAGAAGTCCGGACAAGTCAAACGAACTTGCTGATGGAAACGGATAGTACTTTTATTCTGATAGTTGGATAGATTGAAATTTTACAAGCACGTTCTACAAGCTAGCATCGACTTTTAATCTAGTTGGTTTCGCCTTTTTCACTATAATTAAGCTACATCATCATATCTGCCAAATTTTAGCGCTAGGCATCCAGTACAAAACAAATTCTGTTTCCCATGTTTAGATGCATAAAATGGAGTGGCCTCAATTGAAGAAGGCAGTGAACTCTGATTTCTTATCACCTGAAAACCTCAGCTGACATCCATGGATAAGATTTTTGATCTCCAAGTCAAGCCGCCGCTTAGCCCCCTCCTATGGTGATTCAAATATGAGATTGATATAGACCACAAAAATGCTTCCCTTTGTTTACTGCTAGAATGATACTGATAATGTTCCAAATGGAGAACATCAAAGAGGAAAAAATTAGACAGAACAATGCTGAAGAAGTTTGCAATCCTACTCATGAAAGAAACCAGGAAAGAAAAATTCATTAAACTCCTAAAGACATCGATTGTCTTGACAAACACTAAAAACCTTATTGGCCTTCTTTAATAGCTAGACAACCTTAAGAAGAAAAGGACCATGTCACCTTCCTATTAGCGTTGTTACTTAGAACACATAAAGAATCAAGATACGATGCCTTATAATCTCCTCACCTGCATAGTACCTTACTTTACCCTATATAGTCTAATCAACTGGAGTAGATTTTAATTCTCATCCTATTGAGAATCCCTGGAAAACTACAAGGGGCCTTGTAATTTGATGGGGATGAAGGGCAAAGTTAATAAAGACCATGACCTGAAGTCTCTGGTCTAGAGATTTGGATAAGTTAATTTGGATTGTTCTAACTAATTAAAATAATTTTATTTTAATTTATTTTTTAAATAAAATAAATAACATCTTTAAAAAAAATTAAAAAGTGTTTTAATTAGATTTTAATTAGATCATAAATTAATCCATTAAATCGATCGTGTCACACCAAAACAATTCTCATCCAGTTTTTTTCCCTTCAAAACTTGAATAAAATCCTAGCTAGTTCAATAAAATCTTGAATTGATTTATGAGATATAGCTAGGCTTAATAACATTCACAGGGATGAGAGGTCTTCCAATAGTATAGAGTGATTTTCTTGGCTTCATAAGGTATCCTACAAGTGCAGCTAAAAAAACGTTTGTAATCACGCAGGTAGTAATTAGTGGGTTTTTCTTGTCAAAGAAAGCAAGGAATATCTGAAGAAAAAAACATAAAAAATAGAACCCAACACATCATCTTCTGTCCACAAAAGACATGCTTCACGTAAAACAAACAAGAACACATCATCACCCACAACTATCAAATCCAAACCCAACAAAACCTAAACCTAGCTAGTATCGTAGCTAGCGCATACTAACTTTGTGTTTTCATAACTCAAATCTATATAAAAAACGACTGCTTATGGAACTAAATCCACCATCTCATTTTCTACTCTTGTGAGCATAAATATCCTTTGATCATAAGTTCATCGTTCTTCATTTTAAAAAACAATTGATGGCACAAATTGTCAGTGAATATGAACTTTCTTTTGATTGCTACGTCCACTTAATATGAATTTAGACACTGCTAACAACATGAATATGACTAGGTTGCGTTTCCCATGCTATTCATATCTTTTATATTGTGTTTCTTGGCACTGAAGGAATACATTTTGCTAGTTCATAGTTCTTTTCTGCAAGAATTAAGAGGAAAATTAACAAGCTTGCTTGGAACCCTCAAAAAGGTCTTTATACTGCTAAATGGTATTGATGATTTTTTTTTTTTTTTAACAAAGTCAAAAATTCAAGCATCTTTCCAAAGACTAGAAAACAAAAGAGTATATAGAGAATACTTGAAGCCTGGGCCAAAAAAAAACTAGTTGGCCCTACTTCTACATCCTCCTCTCCTTAACCAGCCTCCATCTCCTCATGTTTCAGTGTGGAAAATTAAACTAGAAGATGAAAAGAAAGAAAGCGAAATATTACAAAACAAAAGATATCATCATGAAAGTGGTGATGATTTTCACAACTTGAAAGTCTTCTTTTTCCTCTCCTCATGTTCATCACTACTTGTACTTGGATTTGGCCTTCTCACAAATCTCCCCTGCAAGCATTAAAGAAATTATTATATATTAGAGTAGAGTGGCAGTGGATTGCTCCGAAGCATAAATTACTAAGCATTCTTGGTAAAATTTAAGCTTAAAGAAGAAGATTCAAGCTATCTGCAAGGATCACTAGTTCATATAATTTGTTCTTTCACCAAGGAAATGAGTGGATTCCCTTTTTTCTTTCATTTTTCTTATGTCAAATGATTTCATGAATATTTTTTTTCTTTACTTGCCACATTAGAAAAAAAGATTATATTATTTTTTATTTTAGGAAAATATTTTTTTATACTTTGCTATATTGATAGGGTGCAAAAATTGATTTTTTTTTTTTTTTTTACTTTTTGTTAAAGCCAGGGGACAAAGTGAAGTATGATTGATATGCTCTTCGATTCATTATTCATCAGGCTTTTATCATGTCACCACGAATCATTCAAAGAGTTGTCCCGTAATCAATTTCAGCCCTTGGAGTGGGTCCCACCATTCAAGTGGGTCCCAAGCACCACCATCGACCCCCCACTATTCAGAATTACACTCCCATTGATTGTATAACTAAAAATCATTGCAACTAATACTCAAGTAGTGTTATGAAACTTAATATAATCTAATAATTTATTGATTAAATTAAGTTTTATAGCAGTTAACTCGGTTAAATTTAATTCTTTTAGAGGGTTAATCTGGGACTAATTAATATAATCCACCCCCACCTTTTCAGAATTGAACTATATTCAATTTAAATTAGCCCGTGCCGTCTGACCATTTTATAAGCAAGCAAAACCTTGAAAGAAAAAACAAAAGTGGAGGACAACAGAGAAGGAAAGGTACCTTCATTCTGGGCCGTTGATCAGCGTTGACTTTTCTGACCTGGTATCTGATCTTCTTCGAGAAAAGGCGTGTACGCCGCTTTTCTTTGTAGCGCAACACGCTAGCTTCTCTCATTCCATTCTCTGAGAATAAATCAATTTGTGCCAGCCTGGCCTGCCCAAAAAATTAGAATAACCACGACCAAATTAGTGCCTTCAAAAACCATGAAATTCCTCTCATCTTCTCTTTCATTCCATCCTCATTCATATCTCGAAATTCAGTTTTTTCTTTTTTTTTAAATAATGTTGGAAGAAAATTTATTAGATGGATCAAAACCCTGTTTAATTTTTAAAAAAAAATTAAAACAATCTTATTTTAGATTAATCAAAACAATCCTGAATTGAAATCTTTCGCCAGGTTGCGATTGAAATCAAGTTTAATAACTTTCTAACAAAACCCTTGTCATTATAAGTGACTATTATTTCCCTAATAAATTTCCCATTTGTATGTGATTGGCAATAATGTTTTCCCAGAAAGAGACACCAGAATTTGCCTAAAATATGAACAATGTTATGACTGCAACGCCATACGAGCAAAAACAAATATTGGGTCGATGAGACGAGATGTTAAGAATTCTTTGAATTGCATGATTGGAAAAATGGAGTTTGATTCTTTCAAAAAATAAAAACAAAGCAAGCGTTAAAAAAGGGAGCAACCATGTAAAAATAGGAAAAAAAAATAAAGAAACCTAATTTAAAAGGAAAACAAAAAAATGTTGGTATTTTTTAAGGTTCCACTTAAGGCTTGGATTAGAATAATAATGGTATCAAAACCTAATTCAAACTAGGTTTTTAATTAAATTAGATAATATATAGTTTATTATCCTAAGAAATTTAATAAAAATTACTAGCCTATGTTGACTCCCGGTTTGATTATAACCATGTGGTAATAACTCTTCAAGAAAAGCATTTTTTATTTGAAAAAGAATATCCAAAAATCAAAACGTTTGTAAGATATCAAATTTTAAAAAATAAAATAAAAAACTATAGATTTAAAATTGGCAGCACTTAGGCTGGCAGGAAGCAATTAAATACAGTGGAGTTTAACTAATTAATTTATTGGAGTTTGAAACATTATTTTATTTTCATAGGAAAATCATTTCCCGGCAGGAGATGAGAAACATACAGAGACATCAGTTCCTTCAGCAGACCCCATAGTTTCCTCGGAAAATGGCGAACCACGGTCGGACCACGCGCTCAAAACGTTGTCGTAATTCAATTTCAATATCAACCTTTGATTGGATTGTGGAATTGAATTCTCCTTGATTGGATTTTCCTCTTCCAATTCCTCATTCTTCAATTCCACCACGGCAGGCATCTCCACTTTCTCCAGTTTCTTTTTCTTCTTTTCGCTGCTCGAGTTGGATTTCATTTTCAACTTTGATTTTGGCTTTGGCTTGGGAATTGAATTGCAATCTGGACAGTTGTTGCCATTGGCATTTCTGATGGCACCCGCGGTGGTGGTGGTGGTGGTGGTGTTGAGTCTTGGAGAGATTTGTAACATATCAACAAAGGGAAAATGCCACCAATCTCCTTCATCAACTTGTCTCAAAGCTCTAACACCTCTTCTCATCGCCATTCCATGACCAAATTGTGATTTCCCGCCAAAATTATATTCCATTGAATTCCCATACCAAGAATTCGTTTGGCCACCACCATGACCATAGCTTGGACTAATGCCATTAGGCACCTCATCAACCATTTCATTGCCTACACTTAAATTCCCCATAATACTATCAATACCCTCCTCAATTTCCTCATCAAGAATCGATTCAGCATCGAAATCCTCATCAAAACCATCACATAATTCCATTGAATTCCCATGGAAGTCAACTTCCCCACTGCTCTGGCAAGATGACTTGTCTCTAAGATTTGCAACTCTGGACTCATTTCCAAATCTGGGTTTTTCTTGGATTGGTTGGTGGAGTAGGAATCCAGAGTTGTCAAAAACGCGAAAAGGCAACAACAAGTCAGGGGATTGGTCAAGGAGGATACTGTTGTCATGGGGTTTGGTGAATTTGCTAGATTTTGTGAGGTGTTTGCTGGAGAAGACGTTTGGATAGGCAGAGGAAAGAAGGGCAGCCGCTTCATTGTAAGTTTGATTAGGCCTTTTACGAGTTGTTCTTGGTTTTCTAGTTGAGATTGCTAATGGGGAATTGCTAGATTCGGAGATGGTTGAAGATGGTGAAGATGTGTGTGATGTTCTTGTTGAGGAAGTAGATGAGGATTTGACTATTTCTAGATCAAATCCATAGGTTCTCCCACCTCCACTTAAACATGGAGAAGACATTTTAGAGGTGACAATAACAAGGAAAATATCAAAAAGATGAAAACTTTAGCGAGAATCTAAGGTCCAAGACCTTGAATTCAAGTGGGATTTTCAATCCAGCCAATAGGAGATAATTAAACAGAGACGAATTGAGAATTAGAATACCAGGCAAATTAGTGCTAGCAACTACGGAATTCAAAGAGAAACCTGGAATTCGGAGGAACCCAATTCAGATACAGAATCGGTTGAATTGGGGAGGAAATTCTGAGACCTGATTGCAAGAAAAGTTAAACCTTTTTGGTGATGTAATTGAGAAAAGGAGAGAGTTTCTATAGAAACTAGTAAAAACCCTAAACCCCTACAAAGTACAAGGAGCAAGAAAGGTGCCAAATACCAATTGTTTCTGTAGCTTAGGAAAAGGAGAAAAAGCCAAGAGTGAAATAATATTTTACAAAAGAGGAAGAACCTAGAACCATGTTAAAACCCAAAAAAAAAAAAA